GAGATCAAATTGAGAACTATTCACAGCTCTGTGTCTCTTAGTCTATTTTAATTTATATGAGAAGAAAAAGGAAAGTCATATTTGCTCCAATCTTGTGCAAAAGTTCATATATTTCTTGAAAATGTTTGCTGAAGGAATACGCCTCCTCCTAAGGATAAAACAGCAACTGACTTTAGTTCCTGTGGAGCCTAGGCAGGGTGAGCTGGAGTGGAATTCAGAGAATTATTTCTGGTTTGTTTTTGAATGCATTTTTTGGCAAATAGTGGACCAAAATATTTCCTCATTTTCCTTTTTTTTTTCCCCAATTAATACACTTGCTATTTGGTCTGGGCTTTTCTCTCCTTCAGGATGAGTGAAAGTTGTCTTTCTCAGCAAAGCTAACGTGTCCATCTGTTCATTGCTTCTTGTCAGAGTTTCTATCATGCCCAAGGGTCACTTCATTTGACACACAGGGACAAGTAATCTGTCTCACGCAAACCTCCACTTTTATGTAATAACCAAGATCGAATTTCGTATTGAGATAAGATTTAACCTGAAAAATATTAGTTTTTTTTTAAACAAAATAGGGGTTTAGGTGAATCAGCAAAGTGATTGACTCCTATGTATTGAGAGCATACTTTCCCAGGAGACCCAGAAATCAACTTTTTCTTTTAAAAAAGAAAAAAGAAAAAAACCGGACTCCAGATTCTAGGATTTAATAAAAGACTGTGCAAGTCTGAAGAAAACTCCCACCCCCAATCCTCCTGTATCAGGACCTTCCCCAGGGAGGTGAAATGTCCTAGCATCCACCTGGGAGTCGGGGCCATGCTCCCTGGAGACATTCTTGACCCTGCTCCCTCCCTCACACTCTACTTTTATTTTTTTTTTTAAAGATTTATTTATTTTATTTATTAGAGAGAGAGAGCATGAGAGGGGGGAAGGGCAGAGGGAGAAGCAGACTCCCCGCCGAGCAGGGAGCCCGATGCGGGACTCGATCCCGGGACTCCAGGATCATGACCTGAGCCGAAGGCAGTTGCTT